GAGCGGGTTTGATATAAAGTATATAAAACATTCCATCTTCCTTGAGCTTAGCCAACTACACTTTACTGGACAAAATCACGGAATTTATATTCAATAAACAAAAACATTTTTATGCAAGTATCAGTAAGATGAAAATGAATTTCAAGTTGTGCATTTTGACGACCTCTGCATTTATAACAAAACGTTTCAGTTCCTCAGATTGAGCAACATCTAAATACATCAAAAGTCCCGGTCTCTCGCGCATTTAATGCTGACAGAAAAAGAACTGATTATTTTTGTGGATCGATTATTTTGTTACCAATTTGCTTGTAGCCTTGACAGTTGATCTGTTGAAAAATTGCGTTTAGATTTATTTTCCTTCCATGTTGTAGAAACAACTTTTTTATGCCCATTGATGTTCATTATGAACACGTTCCAAACTCAAGTCCGATATTCTAAAGTTTGAAATCCGGCCTAAAAAGGCCATGCGGGAGTATTTTTATCCGAAATTTTAGTAAAATTCAGCTATTTAATGGTATTATATCCTTATTTCTTCCGGGCAACTCTTTTTGGAAGAAAATCAAGTTTTTCATGTCGAAACAGTCCATTTTTTGTCTATGATTTTTCCGCCTATTTATGTCCTTTACTTGCCATTTTGTGACATTTTCTAAAAAGCGGCTAGATTTTGAACTTTAATTCACAATCCGGCCGACTCAAGTCAGCTGAAATCAGGCTTTCTTTACATTTTTAGGACAGACGACATTTTTGCCGTCTTGAAACACCACAATATCATTGAAATACAGAAATAGAACACTAACAGCATTAAAAAAAGAAAACACTGCTGGGTCAATAAGATGGCTTCAAAAATTTTCGAAACCATGTGATAAAATATGGTTTCGGAAATTTCTGAAACTGTTTCACTGTGACAAAATGGTTTCGGAAATTTCTGAAACCATTTCACTGTGACAAAAATGGTTTCGGAAATTTCTGAAACCATTTCACTGTGACAAAATGGTTTCGGAAATTTCTGAAACCATTTCACTGTGACAAAAAATGGTTTCGGAAATTTCTGAAACTGTTTCACTGTGACAAAATGGTTTCGGAAATTTCTGAAACCATTTCGCTGTGACAAAAATGGTTTCGGAAATTTCTGAAACCATTTCACTGTGACAGAATGGTTTCGGAAATTTCTGAAACCATTTCACTGTGACCAAAATGGTTTCGGAAATTTCTGAAACCATTTCACTGTGACAAAAACTTGGTTTCGGAAATTTCTGAAACCATTGCATAACATGTATTGTTGTAATATAAATGATAACAGTTTCTGAATAGCCTGTGTACATCCGCCGCCTCCCCTCAAAATAAATCGGGGACACAGGCTATTTCTGAAAAGATAAATAAATAAACAAACAAACAAATAAATAAATACGTAAATAAATAATTTTTTAGAGAATGTTGCTGGATGGCTGTGAAGCCCCCATCGTACTTCATCGTACTTGTGGGGCTATAGCTATAGCTAAGAGGCTAAACAAATTGATATAGCCCAGATCAGGCACGCAAACATTCGCTTTCAAATGCACATTTACAGTTCACTGTATTGTCAGCTTTTGACTATTTGTAAATCGCGGTTTAGCATCGAGTTTAGCAAACACGCGGCGCGGTGACTAGTCACGTACTATCATTTGCGATTTCCACCGATCGGTGAGCGATTTCGTCATATCACAGAAATAACTGAAACAATATCGGAGAGAAAATATCGCACAACAGATAGTTGTGTTTAAAGGACGGTTCTATTCCCGGATAAAACGGGGAATATAAAGAATATCTTCTGGATACGAGCAAGAGACAAGACATGAAGCTGAACTGGCCAGATGACCTGAATCGCTTTTAATAATAATATTCCAAGTTGAACTTTACAGTAATATAAGAATACATTTATAACTATATGCCATTAAACTGACACGTTCCACCAGCGAAAGGAAACAGAAACTTAGCAAAATTTGTGCGTTTGACTAACTGGCCGAAACTTGTCTATAAATCAGTAGGAATGTGATAATATTCGCTCCATTATAAACTCATTCCACTTACTTTACTAGAAGGATTCCAGGATGGGCCTTCCTAAACTCAAATCCCGCGAAAAATAAACTCCAACAATCTCGGTACATGGGTCAGTAAAATCGACCAAATCACAGACACTCAGTTTCAGTACTACATGCTCTTCTGCATTTTGGCGGATTTCTGGGCGGCTCCGTTTAACCACAATAACGGTCAAATCTCATAACTGGAGTTCCTTAGTCGGTAACATGCAGAAGACTGACATGACACCCATCAGCAAAGACGTGACAGTTACGGTTTGCCGAAAAGTTGCTGTAGATCACTTCAATTCTTGACCTCCTGTTGTACTCATGTATCATGAATGATTTTTTTTTATATTCTTTATATTACCTGTTTTCGTCAGTAAAACTTTGTTTTATTTTGATGTCTGGTGTGCGTCAAATTCAGTGCGGTTTGGGCGTTGTGTGACGGCACAAACATATCGATGTCCATGCCGTCAGTTTATACTTCACACAGTGCGCGCGTGAGTGTCGACTGTCGTCGATAACGTTGTTGCTGTTCTTGACAAGAACTACGAGGATGCACCACCATTTCGATCAGTTACTGGAAAACCGATAAAATCTACGATCTTTTACACTGAAATCGTGATTCATATCCTGTTCATATATTCATTGTGAGAATAGTTGGACATACATGATGCACTCCAGCCGGGACCGTCCAGACCTGTAACGGCTATAGCTGGCGACTATAGCTGGCTATAGCCAACTGAGGACGACTGTAGGATTGCGATTTTATGATATATACTCCATTCAGGTTAGAATGTTTTTCGTTGTTGCAATGTGTTACTCCTAGTCGTTAAGTCTGGAAAGGTTGGTTAGTATAAGGCATGTCGACTAAACCGGATGCATGACGTTGAAAAATCTGAAAAATTTGAGCGCCAGTTCTCAATTTTGAAGTGCAGTTAACTGACACATTTACTGGGCTGTAACCAAAAGAGGCCGGGTTAGTCCTATCTATACACAGTATACATCGCTGTGAAAAACATTTGCTACTGAAGGCAACATAGTTTTTTTTACGTGACCTAGCTCGTCAGTGGCTCGTGGCGAAGAAAACGGAAGTGCTGTAATGCGTGCGGCCACAACGAACCGCCGTTAATCATGCCGAATAGTAGAAAAATTGATTTGTTTGCTATGATTTGGGATCGTTTCTGGACACGCGTTTCAGTATAAACGCGGAGACCTTTTTTCAGGTCAGGATTTTAAACACTAATAGATTATAATTACGCCATTCATTCCACATTACGGTGATTTCTGTACACAATTCTATTTTAAACTTGAAAGTTTATATACAACTGGAGTCACAGTCTCGATCGTGTAATATATAATTATTACGTTATGTCTACCACACTACTTTTCGGACTTTTGCAGTCAAAATCTATGGTGTACAGTATAAAGCAACAGTACAAAAGACGTTTAATTAACTTTATGTTTTTACTTCAATCTCTAGGTCCATGCTTCCAAACTTATAAATCCGTGTCCTTTTCCTGTATTTCATGTATGCCTTTCTATATCCTGTATATCACTTATTAAAGTAAACCTGTAACTTATTGTGTGTACGTGTGTTATGTGAGCGAATCGAAATGTACCCGATGGAAACACTTGAATGAAAAATCTGAATGCACATTGGAAATTGTCTCGGAAATTTCTGAAACCACATTCACTTTTTGGGTAAATGGTCTCGGAAATTTCTGAAGCTACAATTCGGCAATGAAAATGGTTTCGGAAATTTCTGAAACCAAAATTCAGTGAAAATGGTTTCGGAAATTTCTGAAACCACAATTCAGTGAAAATGGTCTCGGAAATTTCTGAAGCTACAATTCGGCAATGAAAATGGTTTCGGAAATTTCTGAAACGACAATTCAGTGAAAATGGTTTCTGGAATTTCTGATACCAAAATTCAGTGAAAATGGTTTCGGAAATTTCTGAAACCAAAATTCAGTGAAAATGGTTTTGGAAATTTCTGAAACCACAATTCACAGCAATTCAGTGAAAATGGTTTTGGAAATTTCTGAAACCAAAATTCAGTACATGAAAATGGTTTGGACATTTTATCGGCTGAAAATAGGGAAAATAAGCTTATTTAAGCGGGACTGATTTTTGTATGTCTAAAAATGAATCATTTTCTGAAATATCAGCCGGATTTTACAATTCCGTCATAAAAATCAAAACACTGTCAGATTTCAGCTGAATTTCTTCAACTTTGGAATATCGGACTTGAGTTTGGAACGTGTTTATGTTCATCAAACATTCTTCCAATAGGGGAAACGAAAGGTTATTGGGGCTGTATAGGGTTTTATAAACCTAGAAACAGAGATTCAATGGAGTTGGCCAGTAACCGTGATATATATCTCGCGGATCAGACAAAGTACGGGTGTTATACTAACTGCTAATCACAGTAGTAGTAAACCTTTGTTTAAACTTCTTATCATGTCTGGCCTGTTGGTCTAGTGGCATGATTCTCGCTTAGGGTGCGAGAGGTCCCGGGTTCGACTCCCGGACAGGCCCAGCTGGGTTATATTTTTTTATAATATTTTGTGAAGCTATAATATTGTTTTAAAATAAACTTTTATTAATCAAGAGTTAAGTTTTCCCTCTTCAAAACTATAATACTGGCGAAACCCAACTCGGCTTCTTATGAACATTGTGAGGGCATTGTTACAATAGATATCCCGAGGCAACCGTGTTCAAAATGCAAGACATGGTAGTGGATGTTTAAAGCTAGTGGCAATTCCATTGTTCGTTTATCTGTTTTTTTAACTACATGTAGTTAGGACGCTTCTCTTTTTTACTGGGCCCCATGGCCAAGAAAGTAATGTATTTAAAAACACACGCACGGTCATGTTTTATTAGAAGGATCCTTTTACATGCATAAATCTTACAATCATTGGTACAAAAAATACTGTGGGATTTTTCTTTTACTGAAGCTTGAACCACCAACCTTTCGGTTAACAGCCGAACGCGCTAACCGATTGCGCCACGGAGACTACTCACGACGGGACCTGTTTGTGTTGTTAGCATATTGTACTCATTTCGAGAACATTATGGACATGTCAACGTTTAATAAATATATGGCTACAAAATCATAATTTAATAGTACAGCACATTTTCTTAAATGAGCAGGATGTTTTGATTTGTCACAATATTTGTCCAAAAAAATAAATGATCAGAAGTATAACATTACATGTAAATGTTATTAGTTTATTGAGAACAATTCAATCAGATAAAAATATTCGTCAAATTTACATTTTGAATAACAGTTCTCCCTATCTAAGAGCACTGCACAAGTAGGGCCTGTTCTAATGATATGGGGTACTGTAAAATCCTATTTATGCACCCTGGGCCTATTTATATTTAAAAACATTTGTTTGCACTTGGGTCACCACCGTCAATGAAGCCGCGGAACAATCGAACAATGCCATATCATGTTCAGTAATGAATACACAGGAATTTTAAGAATTGTTACAAAAAAAGTTTACACAGGAATGTTACAAAGAATGCTTCGACGACGGCATTGTTGGCTACTTTCGCAATAGTGCAGTAGCCATAAAAATGAAAATAACGCCTGTAGTAGTAACATTGAGGAGTTCCAACAGAAGATAAGAACGAAGAACGAAAAAAAAATGACACCTCCCCGGCGGGGAATCGAACCCCGGTCTCCCGCGTGACAGGCGGGGATACTCACCACTATACTACCGAGGATTCGGTTGAAAATAGATTATTAGCTTTGACTATTTATTTGTTAGTAAAGGACATGGTCAACCATGAAATGTTCAACCACACACCTGCACACTGAGAGTATATATAAAAAAACAACTAATCAATATTCCCCTAACTTTAGCTACCAGTTAGAAATGGAAATGTGGAGTTATCTACTTATCTTTTAAATATCGTAATCAAATATCAAAAAATATCTGCAACTGAAGGCATCCGCAGTTTTTAAAACCACAACATCACCAAAACAATTGAAAGTCATTTATTTGTCGTTAAAATGATGTTTACTTCCATTATTTCCGTACATGCTAATGCCGGCCAGCGGACATGAAAAATAGCAACTACGTACCACGGAAACCACATTACAATTGTTGGAAGTTTCGGCTTTAAAATGCCTTGCACTTTCTCCTTATTTTTTAATCCTCTTTGAAAATCGCCAAGGATGAATTTTAAATACGCTAGTATAGTATGTTGTATTTATAATATTTTTATTCGCTTGCCACATTATCATAAAATATTAGTAGTCTTAAAAAATAATAATAATTAAAAAAAATTATGTTTCCGGCAGGGACCGAACCTGCGACCTTCCGCGTGTTAGGCGGACGTGATAACCACTACACCACGGAAACGGATATAGATAAAGGAAGGGTTTGTCTCTCTGATGTCTGTTTATTTATTTTTTTAACTTTTTGAAACCTTTGTGTGATCCTCGAATATTAAACACATCATTCTGATGTGTGTTGATCATGCATCTCAAGGGAAAGTCGCCTGCAATTAAGGCTGGAGAGGTCTGAACAGTGCTTCCGGTCATGTGCTTGGATTTTACTTTCGGTAGCCCGTCGTGGCTATTGTTTTAAAAGGTCACTATGTGTACGACAACTAAAAAGCGAATAAGCCAAAAAAAAAGGATACATTGAAACATTGAACTGCTGCCGAATATTTCACTGATTCGCGCAGCCTCTTTTTGGTACAATAGCCCTTTTCACGGTTAACCTGGACTATTTGCATAACAATGCAGTTAAACATAGAAGGGAGGCAATTTCGGGCACAACATCGTGATTTTCTTGAGCACCTTAAACTATGTTAGCATAAAAGTAGTTTTAAAACGGAGAAGAACTAAATATGCAAATATTTTAGTTAAAGTTTGCTTATGCGAGTCTACTCTTTATTAATAGAGAAAAGTCGTTTTTACAATTTTTTTCTAAAAGCAACGTAAACTAAAAGTTCTTCTACATTTTAAAACTGTTTTTATACTAAAAGAGTTCAAGGAGTGACCGAAATTACCTCGCTTCTATGTTCAAGCCGTATTGTTATGCAAATATCGCAAGTTAACCGGGAAAGGGCTATTTTGTGACAAGGCTTTCATTGATCAATCGATTGCTTATTTTGAAACGCCCTTTTGCCTCACACCTGGCGCCGTAGCTCAGTTGGTTAGAGCGCCTGTCTAGTAAACAGGAGGTCATGGGTTCAAATCCCATCGGTGCCTAACAGTAAGCTAACCATATTTTTTTATTCATTGGGGAAAAACAATTGCTCTCTGAAATGAATGTACCGGAATTTGAATTTCGTTATGTACTACCATTTTTATTTTCGAAGCCAATATTCACACGTCAATGTTTCTGCATAAAATTATATGATCATTGTTTTTGGTCTTCATAAAATTTAATATGTGGTGCATAATGTGTTAATAATTGCGTTAATAATTGCGACTGAAGTATTTCATGCAATGACACGTAGATACTCACCAATACACTACCGAGGATTACTGTACTCATTTACTTCCTCCGAAATATATTAACACTCTATGGGCCTCCACAGACTAGAGAGATAGTTGTCGACAACTATTAGTATTCGACAACTAAAACTAGTCGACAACTATTAGTGCTCGATAGAGCTTTTCCACACACTAGAGGCCAAAATTATCGATAACTTGTATTTTTATGCGAGAGCATGCCAATGCGAGTGCAGGTTTGGGCAAGATGGCGGACGCGGAAGGACCATTAAAAGGCACTGAAGGAGATAAATGCTTTTCGGAGAAGGAAAAAAGCGCCATGTTTGTCTACGGAAAAGAAACCGCTGCCAAGGAACACTGATAAAAGGGAACTTTTAAGCAAACCACTACTGCAAATATACCAACACAGGCGTATAACACAGGCCATTGTTAACAATTTAACAAACTAAATGTATTTTCAGTAGGAGCGGATGTGATATAAAGTATATTAAACATTCCATCTTACTTGAGCTTAGGCCCGGGTCGCACTTGCGGACAAGTTTTGAAATGTCCCAATTTTTTCAAAAAAAATTATCAGGACATGTTGTCAGAGAGATCTTGTAGAGTAACAAAAGGTTTAGTTACTAGCACAATAGCTTTGCACGTGCTATAAACCTCTTGGGACATTCCTCAGCTGTCCTCTGCAAAACAACGACGTGAAATGACCAAATTCTGTGCTTTGGGGAGAACAGCTTGTCCTTCACAACAAAAATTAAAATCATGAAGTTGGTTCGACCTGTGACGATTACCACAGAAAATTAATAGAAACAAACGAAAAAAACAATGCATTGTTATTCACATATTGTAAATCCAGTTTTGGTGGCGTAAACCATATTATACTGGCACACAGTCCTGGAGGCCGCGGTAAATTTGAATCAGATATATGGCAACACGTCTTGCAAAATGCAAATTTGTTATTCTCAGAGAAAAACACAATGGTTAATCAGCAAAGCATTGTTATCCGGAGTCACCCGGTGCGTGGTGATGTGGCTTGTCCAGTCCCAGGGCAGGACTACGGCGCCTTTGAAGTTTTGTCCGTTTTGACAAAATTTGTCCGAATCGCAACAAGTAGGTCGCACTTGTTTTGCGATTATTGTATCAAACAAATTTCAAAACGTGCACACGTGCGACGCGGGCCAATCATAGGACTACGGCTTCTTTGTTATTTTATCTTTTTGGACAAGTTGTTCGTCCTGAAAATTAGGTCGCACTCGTCTTTGCTATAATTGACGCTTAAATTGAAGAAATCCACTAAAGTTACCAAACTTGTCCGCAAGTGCTAGCCAACTACACTTTACTGGACAAATCACGGAATTCGCTACCCTTTGACGTCTTGCGAGATCCATAGGATTGTGGTACGTTCTCAAGCATCGTCACCAGTGGTACATTTTCTTCTCAAGCTTCGGCGGGTAAGTTGTGCTGCAAAATTATCTCTGTGCTGACCCTCCCAGGGACTTATGCTTGGCTCTTGGCCATAACCTGGGGTAAGGCACGTCTTTCCACCGGAGCTCTACTTCGGGTGGGTTGCTGCGGCGCCCATCCATTTTTGTGCTCCTTCTTCTGCCTTGCATTTGGCCTGGCAACCGTCGTTTGGGCGACTAGTAACCCATCCGGCTTTTGACGCCATTTGGTCGGGCTTTTGTCCTTCCAATTTTTTGCGTGTGCGCCCATTTTTCTCTCATTCTTTGCTGTTTGCGGGTTTTTTCCTTCTTTTCCGAATAGTGCGGATATTTAGTTATTGTGCCAAGCGCATTTATTTATAATTGTAGGGGTTTTCTGCCATCCACTTTTTCAGCGTTCTACTGTTTGGTGTGACCCGTCACCCATCCAGTTTGGTTTCATTTTTCGCCGCGTGGTGACGTTGTCACCCATCCGGTTTTTTTCTTCTTTGCCGAACAATAGTGTTTAACTTATAGTGTAAATTGTACCAAAGTACAATTTACTTGGATCCTCTCCTTACGAGTGGCTCCTTTTCGCTTTTTCGTGTTTTTTCGCGTGTTTGTGCCATTTTCCGGGGCACCTTTTTTCTTCGTGTGTTTTTCGCCTTTGCGTGTCCTCATCATAATGCTGTCTAAAAACAGTTATCATCCAGTTTGGAAGAGGACTGAAACAGCTTTCGAAATGGCGACACCATCTTAAAAGAACTAATGGAGGCCTTCGATGGTACCATTGTGTCAGCTCAATTTTGTTTGACTCTATCCGCGTCACTTTCTCCTCCGAGGAGGAGAGAAAGGAAGCCATAAAGCTTGAGGGGATTCATCTCCTCCGCAAGTACTGCCAAATTCAGGGAGGTGGCCCACCCACCACGATGGTTCATCTGTTCGATTATCCGTTTGATTTGGCGACCATCACATCGAAGACGTCCTTTCCGACTATGGTGAGGTTAAAAGCGTCCGTTTCCAACATTTCATCGGTTTCGAAGACGTCTATACGGGAAACCCGTCTGTTCGTATGGTCCTCCATCCGGACCGTGAGCCACCTCGTTTTATCAACATTGAT